TGGCATTAGGAAGGTTGAGAACCGCTGACTTAGAGAGTCTTCAGTGGCGCTCCAGACTCTTTCCGATTGCTCTCTATGCCTTAAATTATTTGAAAATTCTTTGACTTGAGACAAAGACTCTCATTCCATAATCAGAGATAACAGGCCAGGAATTGGAGACAAGATAGCAACAAAAATTCATTAGCACTTGATTTTATTCAGCCAACCGATAAGCATACAAGACCAAAAGATTCTTTTCCACTTTGATAAACAAAAGGATCAGAGCAGGTGGACAGTAGGCTCCTGTAAGAGGAAAATTTCCACGACGGGAGGGAAAAGATGCTGGAAGAAAGAGTTGCAGCCAACTTTAGAGACCCACGTGCTTTAAGCTCATGACGTATTAGAAGTCATGCCTCAATAAGATCCTTCCACGGTTTAGCAGGACATTATCACTAAATCTCTATTTACCCTTGAAGAGCTCAAAGTAAACAATCCTACATCAGCTCAAGATGAAAAAGTGGTATTAAAGGAATTCAGCTTTATTTCCATTTTGATGGTTCATTAGTTGAATGAAATAATATAAAGGAAAAAATTAATCTTAAGAATCTATTTTCAAACATAATCTTACCTGACCTATGGGGTAATTTTAAAACGAAGGGCTTCATATCTACCACAAAGTGATCAAATTCCGCATCCAGCTTCTCCCATTTTTCTTCTTCACTTGCCATGTCCATAATGCAGTCTGTAAAAGATTTAAAATTAAAATATTAAGGATCTGTATGCTGAAAACTAAAAAACTGATGAAAGAAATCACAGAAAACTCATTAGCATTAAATATCAACTGTCCCCAAATTGATCTATAGATTTCATGCAATTCCAATTAAAAACCCCAGCAGTACTTTGTATATATATATTTATATACAAGGTTTTTGTATATTGTAAATATACAAAATATATATTTACATATTTATAAATATATACAAAAATAGAAAAATTATATTTTAGAAAGTTAAAGGAACTAGAATAGCAAAAGCAATTCTGAAAAAGAAGAACAAAGGTAGAAGACTTACATTACCTAATTTTAAGATGTACCAAAAAGCTACAGTAGTCAAGACAACGCACTATTGGCAAAAGGATAAGACACACAGACCAATGGAACAAACTAGAGTCCAGAAACTGGCCAACACAAATATGGACAAGTGATTTTTGACAAAGGTGTATTTTTTTTTACAACAAATTATGCTGTAACAATTAGACATCCATATGCAAAAAAAAAAAAATTAAACAAACCTCCACCTAAACCTCATACTGTATACAAAAATTAGCTCAAAATAAATCACAGACTTAAGTGTAAAATGTAAAACTATAAAATTCTTAGAAGAAAACATAGAAAACAATCTTGATGACCTTGGAAAAGACAAAGATTTATTAGATGCAACACAAAAAGCACTACTCATATAAGAAAAAATTGATACATTACACTTTACCAAAATAAAAAAATTTGCTTAGCAAAGGACTCTGTTAAGGGACTAAAAAAAAAAAAAAAAAAAACAAACCGGGCCGGCCGAGTGGCGCGATGGTTAAGAACTCGCTTGGGATGCCAGAGGGCCCCGGTTCGGATCCCACATATGAGGGCCAGTGACACTGCCCTCTACAGCTAAGATGCTGAACAACAGCTCAACCTGGAGCTGGGCTGCCATGAGTCGCCGGCGACGGCGTGGGCTGCAGCCCCTGTGGCAGTGGATTGCCATGGGCTACCGTGTGTGGCCAGCAGCCAGCGTGAGCGGCCAGCAGCCGCAGTGAGCGGCCGTCCAGAAGCCGGCGACTGATCTGCCTCGCCCGGGAAGAGCACAATGATGGTGCCAACTTGGACCAGTGAAGCAACATCCTCCACAACTAGACTGCTTGTCTGTTCCCCTTTCCCCAATTCCCCAGCACTGTTCCCATCCCCCCAATTCCCCAATAAAAATCTTTAAAAAAAAAAAAAACCACCTACAGATACTAAGTGAATATATGCGCATCATATGAGGTCTGACAATTAAGTTCGCAAACTCATCCTAGAACAAGTGCTACATACCTCATTGCTGAATATCACTATGGTCACCTTCGAAGTGCTCCCCTTGGGAAGCTATGCACCAACGCCAGTGCCTAGTCCACCCTTCAAAGCAATTTTGGAATTCTTTTTCTGGAATGGCCATCAGAGCTGTCATCATATTGCCTTCATGTCCTGAATGTCCTCAAAATGTCTTCCTTTCAATATTTCCTTTATCTTCGGGTAAAGAAAGAAGTCACTGGGGGCCAAATCAGGTGAGTAGGAAGAGGGTTCCAATACAGTTATTTGTTTACTGGCTAAAAACTCCCTCACAGACAGAGCCGTGTGAGCTGGTGCATTGTCGTGATGCAAGAGCCATGAATTGCTGGCAAAAAGGCCAGGTCATCTAACTTTTTCACGCAGCCTTTTCAGCAATTCCAAATAGTAAACTTGGTTAGCTGTTTGTCCAGTTGGTACAAATTCATAATGAATCATCCCTCTGATATCAAAAAGGTTAGCAACATTGTTGCAACAAGTTTGCAAACTTAATAGTCAGACCTTGTATATCTCACAAAGCACTTATATCAAGAACATACAAAGAACTCTCAAAACCACAAAGAAAAAAATCCAATAAAAATAATCAGCAAAAAAAGTAATGCCTTTACCAGAGATTTGCAGATGACAGATAAGCACATGAGAAGATGCTCAACATTGTTAGTCAGTGGGGAAATGCAAATTAAAACCACAATAAGATATCACTTCACACCTAGTAAGACATCTAAAATAAAAAATACAAACAATACCAAGCACTGGTGAGAACACAGAACAACAGGAACTCTCTTGCACTGCTGGCAGGAATGCAAAATGGTGCCACCACTCTGGAAAACAGGTTAGCAGTTTCTTACACAGTTAAACGTACACTTACCACATAAGCCAGAAATCCCACTCTTAGGTATTCATCCAAGTGAAACAAAATCTATATTTACACAAAGACCTGAATGTAATATTTATAACAGCTTTTTTCTTCTGTAATTACTAAACACTGGAAACAACCGAAATGTCCCTCACCTGGGGAATGGATACACAAACTGTGGTATAAACTACATCATGAAACAGTACTCAAAACAGAAAAGAATGAAATACTGACACACACAACATGAACAAACTTCAAACTTATTATGATTAGTACAAGAAGCCGTTCTTAAATGCTACATACTGCATAAATCTATTTGTATGACATTCTAGCAAAGACAGAAAATTATGAGCACAGATCACTGGTTCACAGAGGTTACCAGCTGGGGGAGACCTGAATACAAAGAGGTGGCATTTATTTGGGGTATTAGAACTGTTCTGCATCCTGTCTGTGGAGGAGGTTATAAGGTCCTATTCTATGCATGTGTAAAAACTCACAGAACTGTACCCCAAATAGTGATTTTTAACTCCATGCAAAGTTAAACTTTTTAATTTTCCTCCAACAACTTAAAATATTGGTCCTTGTATTTTCTCCCTAATTAACAAGGAAAACACAATTTAAGCGGGGTGAATCCCCAAAATCAGAAACATAGGTTTTGACAAAATTCCTTCAGTTACAAATATATCCACACTCAACAGGTTCCTTTAAGTTATGAAATAAATGTCTTGGTAGTGACATGAACTCTCTCTACATAATGTAAGGTCCCCAATTTGTCATTTATGCAATACACAAATTACATATTTGTAAAAAAGCTGTTCTGTCTCATAGGTCATCCTGCTCCACAGGCTGCCTCCCTCTGCTAAACGAGCTTCTAATATTTACCACAGTATCCTCCATCTGATCATCAGCTGCCTCTTCACAGAAAGCTCTCGGTGCTCTGCCTCTCTGTAAGGAAACACTAGCTTTCCCTGGCTAACTTGACTTCCCTCACAGTCTAGAAGTGAACCAAGGTTTCTGGCCCCCTCTCAAGCACATGCATGTGCTCTCTGGGGTGTTTCAGTCTCTTCCTACCACCTTGCCCAGGAAGGAAAACAGTTACTGAGATCCATATGCCTTCCCGACACTGCTCTTCAACTCTTCAACCTCAAAGACTCCCCTTCTGAGGCTCCCACCATCTGACTGTACCTCTTACTCTCTCATCATCACCACCTCCCCAAAGCCCCTCTATCTGATCACAGCCTCTTACTCTCTTAGACTCTCTCCTCCCTTTTCCCACTCAATCTTCCCTTTGCACTCAGCAAGGCTGCGATCCCTTGACACCCTCCTTCATTCCTGAATTCAGGGTTGGCTGGAGAAAAATGGCACTGTCTTGCAGTCAGATGGCTTCCAAACTTACCTGAATCCTCAGGAATCTTTTACTATTTCCTACTCCACAAAGTAGGCTTTAAACTTTTACCGGACATCTTAAAGTTCTCCTGCCTCCCCTCGTTCTCCATTTTAAATACCTTACCCCTGCTTCATGGAAAAATTAGTCAGACAGTGACATTCCAAAATGCTCTTCCCTGTACCTCTCAACTTTCCTCTTAGAGAACACACCCTTACTTCCTTTGTTTCGGTATCAGAGCATGAGATCTCCTCTCTAATGACAATATCTCCATCCTTTATCAACTACTTCCTCATTGTGCCAAACTTTCCATCCCCACTGACTCCTTCCCCTCCACTGTTCCCATTTTCGAAACCCCCATAAACCAGTATATCAGCAAATACTCGGAAATATCTCAAACACTGCCTGTATCTCTATTCTAGCTGCCACTGTCTCAGAGAAGGCCCCTCCGACCAGTGACATACATCACTCTAACAGTCTACTTGACTATTGCCTACCTTAGTCCTGACTGGTACTCAAGTAAGTTTCCTAAGTACAAAGCTAAGCATATCAAGTCCCTACTTAAAACCTCTCTTGACTGCCTATTACAACAGGGTGCTATCTAAATCCAAAGCCAGGCCTGCAAGTGCCTTTTGAGCCCATCTCTCACCCCTCCCTACGCACACACGTGGCCTAACTACGCCAACCCTCCAACGACCACTTCACCACCAACGGCTCCTCATCGCTCTTCAAACACTCCAAGTCCTCATATGATTCCACATCCTTTTCACAGGCTGTTCCCTCTGCCTGGAGACAGGCAAATGCAGCTCAAATGTCCCTTCTGAGGAAAGCTCACCCCACTTGCTCCATTTTCAGTGTACACTGCTCACATCTGTGTAGCGCCATTTATCACATTATTTTTCTTTCTTTCTTTCTTTCTTTCTTTTTTTTTTTAGCTGAACCATCCTGCCCCCTGTTGGCAGCTCAGTATCACACTACTTTTACACATCTGTGATTACTCGCATGTCTTCTACCATCTGAGATGCTCCTGGAAGGCAGGAACCATGACTTACACATCTTAGTAGGTACCTAACACATTGCATGGTACATATGAGAAGCTCAAGAACTGACTGGTAAATGAATGCTAATGAAAGGGATTAATGTCCCCCATTTACATAAGTAGTAGTTTTTTTTTGTTTGTTTTTTTGTTTTTTTAAGATCCTGTTCTGAGTACCAAATAGGTCTTCTGGAAAAGAAATATTATATGCCCTTAAATCTATTTACCTAAACTGGTCACCCTACCTTCTGCATTACAGAAGAAACACATTTTCAAATTCAAGACCTGGTTAAGATAAATTTTATTTAAATGCTTTTCCTGATTGGTTGGTTGGCTTGGGTTTGTTTGATTTTGTTTTGCATTCCTACAATAACTAATTGCAATCCTCCATAACTCCATCAGCTATGTACTTGTAACAGAAGGCTACGATACCACTTCTGGATGTTAGGTCATAAAGCTGAAAAGCAACTATTTAAATGGGTGAGCAAACAAATGGAAACTCATAAACACAGAATTTTAAGTCCAGCTCTGGCCTAAAAGTGTATTCCCAGGCTTAAACAGTATCCTGCCCGTGTACTCAAACATTTACCTGACAGCACCCACAGCTAGGGCTAAAGCAAAAGTGATCCCTAATAATCACTAATAATGACTCAATAAGTCCTTTGACACAGGCAGGAGATGATAGTGTTTAACGCTAGAGCAAACTAAAATGCCAAGTTAAAAGACTCAACCCAAAGTCATGAAATTAAGCACAAAGCTCAGATTAATTTCTGAAATCTCTAGCTCTCAGATATATTAGATCTTGTCCATTTGCCTATAAGTCAGCAATATCTGCAACTAATAAAAAAGTATTTTGAAAAGAAGGCAATCAGAATTACTATAGTAACATGCAGTACATTTTTTTAAAAACACAAGTCAATGTGATATTTGGTAAAAGCTAAAAATCTGCTTCTCCTTATCCCTTGTTCATTCTTCAACAAAATAATGAAATGCAAAAAGCCAAAAAAAAAAAAAATTAAGTTACCATTTCAAACCTTCAAGGAATTCTTGCTACACAAATTACATCTTATAAATAAATTATATCTACTTAGTTTCAGCTAATCAAAGTTTTATTACTGTTAATTAGACTTGCAGATTTAAATTATAAAATTGAAAAATAAGTAAAGGTATATATTTGACTTAGGCTAAAAGTACTTAGAGTGTGCCTACTAGTCACCTAAGTTAGTTCAAAAGCAAAAAAAAAAAAAGTAAATTGGGTCACTCTTACTTATAGCTATAATATATATTTGGATCATGTCTTATATTTAACTCACTGGCACTGTCTTTTTTTAAACCTGTTCCTATGTGGACATCTACAAAATGGGCTAAGACCTACATATGGTGCTTAGCTGCCATAGGAATCAACAAAGCATACGCAAGTCACAAATATTGAAAGATCTTGGGGGGAAAAGCAGCCACACTGCTAAACAAAGAATACACCTCCCATATATTAATATAATGCCCCTTGCCCAACAACAAACATATGCCTGAAAGTGGCGGGACATCAATTTTGTGCAATCAAACCTTACTTTAAATACATGCTGGTTCATTAAAGAAAAATTTGAACTATGTACTTCAGTCCATCAAAAGGTTTTCCAGGTGCATGTTTACCTGGCTTGCCCATCTGGACGTGGGGGCAGTTACCGAGCATGTACTGAGCCTTCCCTGATTGTGCCAGGAGCATGCTGTGTGCTTTACAAACGGATCCCAGTCATCACCTTAGGGGAAAGACACGATGTCGTGGCCATTCCACAGAGGGGGAAGCTGAGGCTTGGCGGGGTTCAGGAACTGACCTATGGCCCCACGACAGTTGACAGCTGGGCCCCGACCCGTCCGCCCCAGTCCGCTGCACCGCTAGGAAAAGGCACGTGTCGTTTCATTAGCCTTTTCTATTTCACGTTGACTCATCTTTAAATATTAAGGACAAGTAATAAAAATTGCGGCACGATGATTGGAGTAAGAGCTGTTCATATTAAGTTGCTCTCTTGAACATGTTAAAAAAAATAAACTCAGAAACACTCGGGGGCTCCCAGCACGCGGCGATGCTGGGACAGGGGCTTCCCCGGGGGACTGACTGTTCTGGGTTCTGTGCCCACAGCGGAGCCAGCAACCCGGGCTCTGCCCTAAATCCCGACTCGCTGATTCTGTTTTGGGAGGACTGTGACAACGCCGGCGTGCAGTGTCCCGAGGTCACGTCCCTGCCAGAGCGGGCAGGAGTCGCACCCGGCGCGGGGCGGCGGCTCGCGAGGCCCGCGAGGCCGCGGCCGCTTCCCGACATTGTCCGGTACACAGATTTCCTCTCACAAGCCGCAAACCCTCTGGTCCGATTTCTGGACCTCGTCCTGCGGGCCGCTTAGCAAACTTTCCTCGGGACTTGCGCAGTCCGTGCCCGGGCTGGAGTCCACTCTGCAAGTGGAATCACAGGGGTCTGCACCGAGACCCCCCCAAGCGCGGCGCGCGCCCCTCAGGCCTGGAGAGCCGGCCCGGGGCCTGCGGGGCGACGCCCCTCCCGGAATGAGCCGGCACGGGCGGGGCGACCGCCACCCCACACAAAATTCCACCCGAGAACCCGGGGATCGGGGCGGGGAGGTAAATTCGGAAAAACAAGAACCTTGCGCCGCCGCTGCCGCCGCCGCCGCCAAACGGTTTCAAATCCTTGCCGGCCGCCGCCGTCGCCGCCGCCCAGCAGGCTGGGGGCGGGGATTTCCGCGCTCGCATTCCCCGCCCCCTTCCCCACCCCTCAGGCCGCGGCCGGCGCGCCGCGCCGTTGCCATGACAACGGCGGGAGCTGCCGCTGTCGCAGCCCGCAAGTCAGAGGCGGGAACTTCCGTGCTCGCGTTTCTCCGCGTTGCCAGCCCCGGCGCGTGCGCGGCGCCGTTGCCATGGCGACGTTAGGGTCCGCAGTCCGGCCTCCAGGCTCGCCTTCCAACCCTACTTCTCCTAGGCCTGTTTCAGGCCAACCAAGGCTTGCGGGGGTGAAAATCAGACCTACATATGACATTGCTGCTCATGAGCGTTCCGCGTGGAGGAAGAACAGGCAAAGAGCACAGAAAATGGGGTTATTGGAGGATGTTCACAGAAGAGTATGGCCATTATTTAGACAGACTTTGGAGTTGAATGAGTCTAAAAACATGAGAATTTAACTGCCTGGTGTCATTCTCAGACAACCCAGTGGGGAATGAGGGGTTAAGCGGGGAAACCGAGCATTTCCTTTTTTTTTTTTTTTTTTTTTACATCAGAACTGAGGTCTAAAAAAACTGACCCCAAATTCTGAACATGCTGCATTAAATAAAACGGCTTTGTGTTTACCAGTTCTGTTTAGAATAGCAAGATCTAGTGAAAAATGGAATTTTTGCTGCTCCCAGGAAGTCCCAACCACCTCAAGAGTCTCCATATCTGCATTGCTATACTGCGGTCTTCTTTGGTGTTCTACCACATTTCTGGAAAAACTCTGAACTATATTTTTTAAATATACAGGCAGCAACAACATTTAAATTGTAAAAACACTCACTTAAATGAAATTCAGCTTACCACTGTTTTTCATCTAATTTCACAACAGGATTCCTTCTGCAGTGTCTTTGCAATACACTAAGTGTGATGCCAATTCTAACATAGGCACAGCTTGAAGCATCTTTTCAATTTTCCATAAAGAAAATAGAAGATTCATTCATTTGTAACTAGCTATTTTCAAGCTTCCAGATGGAAGTCATAGTGTTTCAAAGGTGCTTTTTCAAACCCATCTCACCGGAAGTAAAAACCAACAGTTCTTCATTGTTTCAGTGACAAATCATGAGGCCTAAGGGAAAGAAATAGGTATGAAATGCTTTTAAGAATGCTTTTAAGAAAGCATATTTGAACGTGTTTATAGCTAAAGAATGATCAGTAATCCAGATCATTTGCACTGAGAACCAGGGATGCAAAACCCACACATGTGATTGCAGGAATTTGACTACTCAATGAAAAGGTTCAAAACGTATAACCACATTGCTGAAAGAACATGAAATGTTTGACAAATGATGTCTAAATTAACATGAACAGAAAAGTGGAAGACGAAACATAGGGATCAAGGGAAAATAATGCAACTAAGTCAAGTTCATCTGAGAGGAAATAATTGCAGCAGAGAAAATATGACAGAAACTTAAAAAGTAAAAAAAAATTAAAGTAAATTCTTAAAATATTTTCTCTAAACCGGTGAAAGTGAAAAGACAAGAAAAATCTCCCTTTCCACTTTCAAGAACTAGCAGATTGTCACTTTTTCATTTCATACATATATATATATATATATATATATATATATATATATATATATATATATATATATATATATATAATCTTAAGTCCATCCACGGAGCCTAGGTTAGGAACTACTGCTCTGTGAATTTTCTATCCATGTAAACATTGACAACAGAAACCATAGCAGCATTTGTATACATAATTTCAGACATCATTGCCCTCAATACTGGGCTCCAGCAACCTCCGGGCATTAGTAAAAAGTAACAGCAGCTGGGATGCCTTTATTCAAGCATCAGAGGAAAGAAATGAGAATAATAACACCCTCACAGCTACAAACACCTGGGGGAAAATAAATGATGCACACCATGTAATAGTTTAATGAGATACAGAGCACACATGAGACCCACCCTGGGGACCTCCAGATATGCTTGGGAAGAAATTGCTGGAATCAGAGTCCAATCAGGGACCTCAAGGGTAAAGCCAGATAAATACTCTTTTAGACCATATATAACGCAAGCTTAGGTGGCCTGAAAAATACAGTTTCACATAAACGTTTTATGGTTAAATATTTATGACAACCAATTAATATGACTTCTATGTCTAGTTATTTTATAAAGGATAATAATTTTTCAGATCAATATGTGTTTATTGAACACCTAGTATGTGTAGATATCTTAAGGGAATGTTTCCTCTATTAGGAACACTCACACCCTTGCTCTTCACCTCAGCTTTAATTTCACTTCCTCACAGTGGCCATCACTAATTCTCAAACCACCCTTTATTCTCTTTCAAAGCCTCCTGTTCTTTTTCTTCATTGTATTTATCAAAATGTGTACTCAAATATTAACTAATATCAATCTCTTTTTTTAATGTCTGTAGGCTCCATAGGACAGGAACCAAATGTGTTGGGTTCACCATTGCAGACCCAGCACCTTGGAGAGTAGCTAGCACGTACAGACAATCCACAAATGTTTATTGAATTAAAGAATGAATGCAGGTGGGCCTATTGTGCTTTTCTCAGCACTTGGGGTAGAATATGGCCACCCCATAGCTCCCTAGTTTGCAAAGCTTCCTTTCAAATGGTCGAAGACTAACTTTTCTGAATCCAAATTTCTTTCTAGGAGAGTGATTCTGATTGGTCTAATTTGATCATAAAGTCAGTTATGAAAAAATATACTGGTAATACATACTGATTGTTGTTTTATCTTTTAATTTTTAAAAGGTATTGAAATTGAAGCATTATTTCCATTGAAAATATTATTTCCTATCAGCTACAAATGACTTAAGTAAAAGTAGAAGGTATGTTTCAAAAACAAATAACATTTTGGCTCAATTTTTAAAAATCAAATGGCAACATAATTGATAATGATTATATAAACATGACTGAAAAATAAATTGTTTTTTCTTTCCTGTGTGGAAAGTTAATTATGCTATGCTTCTCATGGTCAAAGGAACCTGTTTATTTTCAAGATATAAACTTAAAATTAAGAATTAGTCCAGATAATACTGAACAATGTGAATTCAATTATTCCCTAGATAAAACATGGAAAATGTGATCTTTTACTAAATATAAAAAGATTATTCATACATAATTTGAACTAGGGCTGCACTTTGTTACAAGTATTAAGTCAGATGATCTCTATAATTAAACTCCTGCTTTATAATAAAGTACAGTAACTATTACAGAGACCTAGAGTTACCTCCATTTTATTTAAGCCACTGTTATTTGACTTTTTTGTTTAATAAAGTCAAATGTAAATCTGATACAGTAACTTACTTCTCTTTACTTTAAATTATATATATATAAAACTTACATACCTGGGGTGCCAAAAAAATGTATACAAGTGGACACTTTGGTCAACGTTGTTCAAGCAGTATTTCTCCATAATCAGAAGTGTCTGGACACCGATGGTAACCACTCTGAGCACCTCTTGTAATTGCAGAAGTCAAACATGACTTATAGTCATCTTTTGTTATCAGTATATACTGAGTATTACAATTTTAATACAGTTTTCCTTTCTTAAAATATGTATACATTTTTTTGGAACCCTCTGTATTTTCTAAAGACATTCTTTGAATACCTTAATTGCCATGAAGATCAATACCATGTATAAAATGTATAAGCCTATATACTATAAATACACAAAGTGAGTGACAAAACAGCATGTAAACTATTATACCATTGTGTATACTTGCCATACAAACACAGAAAGGAAAACAACTTGTAAGACTATGAATCAAATATGGACAATGATTGTTTAGGTGAAAGAATTAAAAATGGTTGAAGTTCTGTCAATTTTACTTCCTAAATACCCTCAAATCTTTTCAAAAATAGCACTATTTTGGAAAACATTGACTTACACACAAAATTACGAAAGTCACTATGTTTTACTCCTCT